GCCAGTGCCCTCAAGCAAATCACCTGGACTGGCCAAAGTGCCAAGTTTCCCTGGGTCTGTTTGGAATCATACCAACCAAAGTGTACCCATGAAGGCGAAGGAAAACAGCCAGCACAAGTGCCTGCCCCCAGAAGAGGCCAAAGAAGCATCCATCTGTCAACTGGATGAATGATAAAAATGTTTGAAGGCAAAACTTTCAAAGCCAGTGATTACACTGGGGGAAATAACAGCAGTCTACTGTGTGCTCGCTCGGCCAACCTGTGAGCTCTCCGGAGCCCGCCCCACCCCCGCCAGCCTTCCTTCTTCAAACATCCCCAGCAGCAGGCACAGGCCCCCAGCAGAGGAAGTGCTGCAAGAAGGATGCAGGACTGATCTGAGTGGAGGCAGACACCATTCACTACCTGAGCAACCCGGTGTCCCGAGCAGCCCCACAGCTCCTAGAGGGACATCCCAGACACGGGGCCCCCCGGGACCCCAGAGGGGACAGAGAAGGAGGGAGGGAGGGACTGAGGACCCCAGAGAACCCAGGTTCATGGGTGAAAGAGGGAGATCACCTTCCCCCGCCATCAGCATTTCTGATGGTTGTCCTATCTCCAGAGCCCTTTCTGCAGGGCTAGAAATAAAGGGTTTTCCAGACAAACTGATGTCCTGGAGGCAAGGGCCAATAGGTGCCCGAGCGTATCGGCCACCAGTTCTTTAATACTACCATTTAGGTTCTGACCTGCAATTTTCTCTCCACATCTCACCCTCTGGGCTCCAGAGACCTAAGGAAGACCCTTCAAAATCTGTAATACGTCCTAAATTCCATTCTCTTAGAGAATGGGAACCTCAACCACCACCCCTCCCCCTTTGAAATGTCACCCTAAGAGCCCGATGTGAGAACCAGAGTGACAGCCCCTCCCACACATCATTCCATGCCGTTCACTTGCTTCTCTGGAGACAACGGGTCACGGAAGGGGATGGCTTCTAGGACGTGGTCACTTTTGCTCTAGTTTCCGGAAGCCTGGTGCTAGACACATTCTATCTCAGCGGCTGGCAGCCTGGGGACAGGCGGTCAACCTCCTGTTCCGGTCCAGACTATACCTCCTGCTAGCTGAGCATCTCCAGGCAAGCTACTTACCCTTTCTAAACCTTGGTTTCTTTGTAAAGTGGGGAGAACATCTCAAGTGAGACGAGACAAGAGAAATCCCAGGGAGTGCCTTTTGCACAGTAAACCCCGGAGTGCCCCACGCCGGCTGTTATTCTTTCTGAAGCAGTATAGCGAGGTGACTGAGAGTCCAGATGACGCAGAAGGAGCACCTAGATTTAGATCTCAGAGCTGCCCTTCTTAGCTCTGTGACTGGGGCGGTTCCTTAATCTGTCTGTGCTTCAGCCTCTTCATGCATGAGCCCCACTGCATGCATGCAGTTGCCGTCAGGTGTGTACAAGGCTTAAATATGCGTGATCGTCTTCATGACTGCCTGGCACATAATAAACCTTCAATAAACGGCACGTACGGTAGTACAAGGGGCGGTAATCTACTACTAGTTGTATAAAACAGCTCATAAATGTTTTGGGGGATATGTGAAGGGAAATCTAAAAACAATATAAATATTTGCATACCCCTGGGCCCTTTTTTTAATCTGATGATTCCCAGCAGCAATCAAACCAGGCAGCCTACAAGCCTACCTCACTTTATTTCAGCATTACTCACACGCACGTTCACCAAATACACTACCTGCCTTCGGGGCTGTTGACTGACCACCTTGTGTCCACACTGTGCTTGCTCATCAAGGTCCAGTGCTGGCTTCGCCTGCCCACAGACGCTCACGGGGTCTGTGCCGGAGTCTTGGGGGGCAGCAAGACAGAGGCAACTCACTGGCGCTCCTGCTCTCTGCTCTGCCCACGGTCCACAAGTAAGAGCAAAGGGGCCTCCAGGCCAGCTTCCGAGCACTAAATGCAGCCTCAAGGCCACACGTTTATTTTGATTTTTCCTAAACGCTGGGGTCCTCTAGCCAATTTATTTCCTGTTAGGTTAAGCTTTCCGTGCCAGCCCTGATTTGCATTACCTGTTACTAATTTTCTTCCAGGTGGTCTGAATTTCTTAAGCAGGGCTGCCCAAAAGGCCCTGCGCACCTCTTGGATGATCTTACGGGGGTTTCCTGGAGAGCATTCTCTTGGGATCCTGAATCACCAAACCTTAGCACTAAACCTGGTCTAGAGACAGAGAACCGGTCCCCTAAGGAGAAAGGAAAAGCATATAACCATGTAACATCTAACCTACGACCTAAGGGTCCAAAGGCGCATTTCATTAGTGCTAACTTCAAACTCCCAGGAGCAGGTGGGCATCAGGCGGTGGGATCCTCCTCTCTCACAGAGCAAATATAATCCAAGAACAAGTGCGTGCACAGGTGATATTCCCCCAGAGGCACAAGTTGGCAAAGAAGCAAGGTATCTTCCTCGAAAAAAGATTATTCTCTTATCCTGAGAAATAGGGTATATACACCAAGGAGCAGCAGAAGATGGATTTCACAGCAGCCACGAAAGTAGATTCAGCTTGCCCAGAGGGAATTTCTCAACCTACTCAGGTGAGGCCCTGCTACTGAGACCACCACCTTCAGGAGCAGAGGGGGTACGAACCACCGAATCTTGCCATCAGACAAGCACCGGCAAAAGGAAGAATAAAACTTCCCCCGAAAGTCAGCCTCTGGCATCTCACCAGAAGCTTATCTAAGAAAACAAAGGGTCATCTGTATCTGTGGGCGCCCAGCCAGTCCTTCCGGAAGTGGTTATCTGCTTGATGATAACCTCATCTGAACATCCAAGATTCACACCCAGGGGGTCTCCCAGCGATACCAAAGCCGGTCTTTGCGGGTCAAAGAGCCACACGTTGGACACACTGTTAATATGTCCAATTGAGGGGCGCCTCGGTGGCTCAGTCGTTAAGCGTCTGCCTTCGGCTCAGGTCATGATCCCAGGGTCCTGGGATCGAGCCCCGCATCGGGCTCCCTGCTCTGCAGGAAGCCTGCTTCTCCCTCTCCCACTCCCCCTGCTTGTGTTCCCTCTCTCGCTGTGTCTCTCTCTGTCAAATAAATAAAATCTTAAAAAAAAAAAAAAAGTCCAATTGATATGAAATCAGGGAATCAACCAAAAACACCATCAGTGCCCAAATGTTTTCCTTTGGGTGAGAGCAGATCCCCCTAATTAATAAAAGAGGAAGTTTGGAAAAAAGAATATAAACCGCCTGTCTGATTTTTACATAACATTCTTTGAGGAAGCAAAAAGCACGTAAAACAGTAATTATCGCATTTTCAAATCCACTGCACAGACCATCATATATTTGTAAACGGCTCATAAATGTTTTGGGATATGTGAAGGGACATCTGAAAACAATATAAATATTTGCTTACCCTTGGGCCCTTTTTTTTAATCTGATAATTCCCAGCAGCAATCAAACCAGGCAGCCTACAAGCCTACCTCACTTTATTTCAGCATTACTCACACACACATTCACCAAACAAATGTTAAAATCCTACCGTGCACTGAACACTGTTTTATCATTTCTATCACATAATAATTTAATGGGATTTAGCCTATCTGCCAACTGGAAACTGTCCCCATCTGATCACACGGCTATACTAGTTTTAACGTATATTCCAAAGGTAGAAAAATCGAGTAAGAGAAGGGAAAATTGTTTCTTTTGTTTTCCCAAATGCATCAAAACCCAACTGAAGTTCTCATTCCTCCTTCCCACTGAATAACAGCAGTGTTTGGTCAGAAGCTGGGAGAGGGGGCTTGCCTGCATCTGGGGGAACTCACCGCCCTTTATGATGGTGTGAATAAATACTCCGGATGAATTTAGCAAGAAAGGGTCTTTCTTTCCATGTGTCTACCCTGGGCTGCTGGAACAGAAGTCAACTCACAGCCTCCCACCAGCATCAGTGACTCCAGATTGGGGTAGGAATCCAGCGAGGGCCTCCTGTTTGGAATGGCTGCATGGGCTTTTCCAGCAAGTCCAGAAAGTTCATGCAACTTCAATATTTAAAACGTGTCAGAAAACAGCCATGGGCAAAGGGGAAAGGAGAACCTGACCAGCTCATGTAGGGTCAAGTGCAGGTGTGGCGCCTTCGTGACAAGCGATCAAAGGGACGGTGGAGTGGGTCTGAGCCGCGGTGTGTTCAGGGTTTGCATCTGAAAGGCAAAGGCACGACAGTTTCCTGCCGCTTGGGCCCGGGAGGCCGGTGGGTAGCGGGTCCCCCGGGGCGCCCTGGGGTTCAGACATCTCTGAGCCTGCGCTGGAGCCCCCTCCTCTTTCCAAGATCGCTATGTCCAGGTACCAGCCCCTCGGGGCCACCCGGGGCATTTCGCTGCTGTCCCCAAGAGGCCCCGCCCGCACTGAGCTCCGGGCGTATGTAGCCCGTGCCTCGGGCTGCGGCCCCGGACTTCCCGAGCCTCCGCAGCAACAGTTTTCCAGCCGGAGAACTACCGCCAACGTCTCCTTGGAAAACGCTCCCCTGAACACTGGGGCACCAAAGCCAGGGACACGGAAGGAGATGGAGCCCGGCCCCGGGCACGACGAGGGGCGAGGGGAGAAAGGCCAGGAGGAAGGACTACAAACGTCGGGCTCAGAAGATCGCACCCAACGAGAAACTTCCCGAGGGCGCGAGCGAGGTTGCGCGCCCGCTTCCAGGGGGACAGCCCCGATTCCCCGGCCAGCTGGTGCGCAGCCGGCGACCGGCGCAGGCGAGGGGACCCGAGTGGCGGCCGGTCCCGCTCCCTGGCGCGATGGGGGTGGCGGGGGCGAGCCTTACACCGGCTTACGCGGGTCCCTCCGCGACCAGGGTCCCAGAAAGGGGACCAGGAGGGTCCCGTAGGACACATCCCGGGCACTGGGCGGGGAGGACACCTCGAATCCAGGCCCCGAAGGGACGCGGTGGCGCAAACAAAGTTGGGGCACAGAGACGCTCGATCCGTGGGTCCCCGCGTCCGCGCGCCCCCGGCCGCGGCGCGCCACTACTTACACGAAGACCCCGAAGAGCAGGGCTCGGACCCCGATCTCGATGGCCAGCTCCCGCATGGTGCGGCCGGAGCAGCTCCCGGGGCGGCGGCGGACGGTGCTCTCGGCGGCTCTCTTAGCTCGACCGGCGCCGGCTCGCCAGACCCCGGGCGGCGAGGGAGGCGCGCTCCAGGCCGCGGGCGGGGGCGGGAGGCGGGAGGCGGGCGCGGGGCGGGGGCGGGCGCTGGGGAGGGCTCAGCCCAAACCACCCGCCGCGGACCCGGGGACTCGCGGACGCCGCGCCCGCCGCTCCCCGCCCCGCCTCCGCACGCCGAGCGGGGCGCGCCCCGGGGACTCCCCGCGCCCTGGCGCCGAGCGCCGCCTCCGCGCCCTGGTCCGCGCCCTGCGCCCGCGGCCCCGGGAGGGGAGGGGAAGCCCGGGGAAGCCCCGCCGCCGCCGCCGCGGCCGCCGCCGCCTCCCCTGCGCGCTCCCCGGCTCCCCCGCCAGTGGGCGGCCCCTGCGCTCGGCTCCCGGGGCAGCGCGCTCGCTGGGTCCCCGCCTGCGGCTGCTCTGCGGCTCCCGGCTCCGCTTCCTTCTCCCGCTCTCCGGCCTCGGGCTCCCGGCTCAGCCCGCACGTGGACAGGTGGCCGAGGCGCGCTGGGGGACTCTCGGGCCCAGGAAGCCCCCGGCACCCTCTGCTCCTGCTGAACAGAGCTCCCTCCCTCCCGCTTTTTGCTCTCCCTACCCCTTTCCGACCTGAAATTCCTTTTTTTTTTTTTCTAGGAAGTTCCCCTGAGAACACTCTCAGGCTTCGTTTTGCCCTCAGGAACTGCCAGCCAGGCTCCAGCGCCCTGGCACACAGACTAAGGGCAAAGGTGAGCCTGGCTCCTCGCCAAGCCACCAGCGCCAGGCAGCCCCCGGGATGGGGTTCCTCCGACCCCCACTCTCAGCATCTTCGGGCCGCTGCGCTGTGAAAATCAAAAAAGAGACTGGCACAATCCCTGCCCGCAGCAGGCCATCCGGGTCGCTCATCGCTGACACAGCATTCAGTCCTGAGCACCTGAGCTGGGGCTGCACGTTAGACCAGGAGCGTCATCCTTGGGGTTCAGAGTCAAAGGCCAGACCATCATCCCTGACTGGTGGCCTGAGGGTCATGACCTCAAGGCAGAGCCCAGAGGGAATTTGGCTTTGTTTTCTCATCACCTGTCACGATTAGGTATATTTCCTTTAGCTTTACTAGTTTAAACCCGATGGACATTCAAGATGCAAAGTTCACATTAACCATTTATTTGTCCCAGATCTCATGAGTTTTAGGAGAGACCCAGCCAGGATTTTGCGAGCCGGAGAAATGGATTAGAAGGTAGTCCCTGGGAATGAGGAGCCATATCTCAGTCTTGGACAAAAGGGGGAGTAGGTAGGAAGAAGACCTTCGGAGGAGGGTTCTCCCATTAGCAAAGGACAGACAGACCCTACTTCCAAGGAGACACATGACAGACCCAAGCAAGATACCTAAGCCCAGACATCTCAGGGTCTAGGGACAGAGAAGCAGGCAGAGGAAGAACAATCCTAGTTCTGTGTGGAAGGAACTTCATATAAAGACCCCAGGCAGGAACTGCGTCTGATTTGCCCATAGCTGTACACCCAATGCTTGGCACACTGTGCTTGTTGAGTCTTTGGTGAATAAATAAATGAATGGACCATATGCCTCATCTGGTGTGTGAGGTGTCAGGGGTTGGGTGAGTAGGAAGAACTTGGAGGGAGGAGGTGTGGTTCTGTCTCTTCTGTGTCTTGGGCCCTGCAACATCCTGGACAAAACTGGACTCCCAGAGGTTGGCAAAGTGGTGCAGGAGATCCCCTAGTCAACCCAGTAAACTCTAATGACCCAGATCTGAGACTGGCAGATGGCCATATTCCAGGAAGAGATACTAACAAGAGCCCACGTTATTAAACATCACTCACCGATAAGCATCAACCAAGTGCAGCCGTGCAATGTTGTGTGCTAGGCGCTAGGATTCATAATCCATATCTTCCCTCAAGAAGATAGGCAGCCAGAGAGTCATGAAGAAATGCCAAGGAACTATGCAAAGCAATATTAATAAGTCCAAAGAAGGGCTTCAGAAAACTGGATCACTCAGAGGTCAAAGGTTAAGAGTCCTTCCTTTGGTCTGGGATGGCCAGGGACCTAGCCTTTTAGAGGACAGTTGGTTCTTGTAAGCAGAGTAGGAAAACAAAGGGAGGCGATCCTGGGTGAGGGCAAGAGTGTAGGTGCAGAAGGTTAGAAGGGGTTTGGAGGGCACAGTCGGTCCCTCTCCCTGGCCCACCAGAAATCTGTCACCAAGATCACAGAATTAGAATCTTTGTGCCATGTTATGTTTCTCATTTGTGCTTGTATTAGAGATGCCTAGAGAAGGAGTCTGAAAGGGCAGGTGATCTTATTGCTGTAGTCATTAAGAAGCGACTTTGAAACATGTACATCTAAAGAGCTGCCCAGTTCAACCTCCCATCTGATGCCTGAATCTTTTCTATTGGTTCTTCTCATCACTCTGCTCCATCTGCACTGTATTGGCTTCTGTCTCAGGTTCCTGGTAGTTGCAAGTTGGCTGCAAGAATCCCAGCTTTGCATGCTCTCAGGATCAAATCTGGTGGGAACGACCTTGACCTTGATCCCAGCGCTCCCAGCCAAAGTATCACTGAATGTCATTGGCACCGCCCCACATGAACCAATTACTGTAGCCAGGGAGTCGTGATGGATGGATTGTCTCAAGCCTGGATAACAGGCTTGATCCCTAAGCTGGGAGTGGAACCTAAGTGGAACCTAAGCCCCTGAGCTGAGAATGGAGAAAAGGTGGACCCACAAACAGGGACTGATACTTTGGAGCAGGGAAATTGGTGTGGAACAAATGAACAAAGGCCAGCATACCGCCTTGCATGCCAGACACAGGCAGATTGAAGACAGCTCATATGCCCCATGAGTTCCTGTCTAAGCCCAGATTCTTTCACCAGTGAATGAGTTATCCTGGGTGCGCCGGCCTTTGTCAATACAGATTTACAGGACTGCCTTTAAATAAAGCCGTGATGTCCCCCGAGGCTTGTCCTCTGTGGCCTGGTCTCTTCCTCCCCTCCTTCTTTACTCCTGTCCCCAACTCTGTCATCTGCCCGAAGGATCTCCTTTTTCATTTACCAAAGTTGGCTCTAGCCTTCTTCATTATATAAGCCTGGATCAGGATATATTGTGGGCTCTCCCTCGCAGAAGAATTTTAATTTAAGGGAGGTCATTCTTGAAGGGCAGATAGGTTCTCCCCAGTGAAAGGGGACTGAAGATGACATTCTTGGTATCCCAAATCCCACAGAGCAGGCTGCCACTTCCATGGGTTTGGAGGTGGTTGGCTCCAGCAGCTGTACAGCTGTGGACATGTGCCAAATACTAGAGCTCTCCAGAAGTGCCATATTGCTACCCCAGCAGACAAATGAATTGACAAGGGAGCAAAGAAATGAAAGCAGGTTAGATAAAGCGATCCAGCCAAAGCACCCGGGTGCCCAGCTTAGCAGCGCCTGCTGGGTCTTCATAAGACTTCCATGGAATGTGATGTGTTCTCCAGGGAAGGAAACATGGATCAGAGCTTCTAGCAGTCTCAGAGACTGGAGCAGTCTTTAGAGTCTCACTGAATCATAAGAAATAACATAAACATGTCCATCCCTTGCCTAGACATAGTGAGTACCATAGCTGTCATGTGTGAGACTGATCTTTGAAAAATCACATCAGAGTGTAAACACTCAAATGACCACAGCTTGCCCCATCCCCAGTGTTTTTGTGGCCACACACATTTTCCAAGTGCCACTCTGGGGAAATCCCTCATATTTTGTATTGAGCCTATGAGCATGTCAAGAAAGTCCCCTTCATCCCTCCATAATCCTGCTTCTGCTCTTGGATCTTTTTTTAATCCCCAAACAGTATCGTGCAGTATGATGATCCCATATTGACCAGACTTTTAGCTATTTCCAAAAACCAAAGCCACCTTTGGAGAACACAACTTCGCAACAATTTCTTTTTTTTTTTTCTTTTAAAGATTTTATTTATTTATTTGACAGAGAGAGAGATAGCGAGAGCAGGAACACAAGTGGGGGGAGTGGGAGAGGGAGAAGCAGGCTTCCTGCCGAGCAGGGAGCCCGATGTGGGACTCGATCCCAGGACCCTGGATCATGACCTGAGCCAAAGGCAGACGCTTAACGACTGAGCCACCCAGGCGCCCCGCAACAATTTCTTATAACCTCATTTCCCACAGTTACACTTTGTATCTCAATGACAGCTACCTAAGAGTGGGACATGGCACCAGCCAGCCAGCCCGGTGCCCTCAACTTCAGAGACCCACACATCCAGGCTTTCCACTGTGGTTGCCTGGTACAAACTTGAAGATGTGCCTAAAACACCAAGGATCCAAGAGGAATTTCAGGAGAGGTCATCAGGTTCAACCTGGTCCATGAATGTCTTCCTTAATAGTTAATAAATATCTGTCTTCTTGAACACCTTCAGGGATGTGGAACTCACTCACCGCTCATTCCATTTCTGGAGAGGTCTGGTGGTGGTGGTGGTGTTTGAGAACAAACAGCCTATATCCATGGGTCCAAATTGCGCTTTATCGACCACATGGGGTGAATTTAATGTCTATTCCTCTCTGTTACAACAGCCCTTTAATTATTCGACAACTAGAAAGAGAGAGGCGTGGAGATGGGGTGGGGTGAGGGAGGGAAGGAGAGACAGAGAGAGGCAGGGAGAGACAGAAAAAGAGAGAAGCTTTCTTTTCCAAACTAAATATTCTCAGTTCTTTCACCTTTTCAAGTCGTAATATTTATAAGACCTTTGAGGATATAGGACTATAGATTCAACACTGAAGTGCATTAAGCCAAATTCTACCTAATAAAAGAAAACTCTCCTGCTTCCAGGAAAGATATAAGGCACACTGAAAATGATTTAACCCCTTCATGTCTTTAGACTACTTGTTATTCCGTCTAAGGAGAAAAATGTGTGAATTAATGACGTTTTCAGGGGAAAAAATATTCCTTTGCTTCTTAGAAGGCTTTAAGTTAGGAACTTTCTTCCCTAGCAGGACTTCATCTATTATTTTCAAATTCATCACGTGAAAAGTCAGAATATCACTGCCTTTA